TCAGTTTCTTTACCATACTGTACATCCATAAAACTTTACTGTATTTTACAATTGTAAAACTTTCAGTTTTTTATTTAGAGACAGATAGCTAGATGCTTGCTTTAATTGAAGTTCCAATTTTCAACAAGTTCATAGATTCCTCAGAAAGACACATCACCCTCAGCTCTAACTAATGGTACTAATAGCACTCTTAGCTCTAATGACAGAGCACTTACTAAATCCAACTCAAATCTCTATCTCCTTTTTCGCTCTATCACACACTGCTTGCCGGGTAGGTGGGGCTCATCAGCCTTGGAAGGAAGCCCATCTAGGAGAAGGAAAACTCTGATTTCAAACCTTCACTGCCTTGTGGCTATATCCACTGATGGAAAAGGCCTCAGGAGTTAACCTCAAGGCAAAATCCGGAGCTGGAGTCCCGAAGGCTGTTCGTGTCATTCTGCCAACTCCTGTGACGTTGCTGGAACCAGTTGTATTGGCTCTTGCCTTTCCATTGGACCATTTCAGCAACGTGGAGAGGGTGAATTTGCTGCTTGGGTAACAGCCTATCCTCCATATTACTTTACCCAGGCTTCATGCTCTGGAGAGGACATTCCTTGATTCAGAGCATGTTACCATAGTCTCTTGAGACTGAAGGATGCCTATGGGATGTGGCTGCTTTGGTGTTAAATGGAGCCAAATGTGTTTGTTTGTTTGTTGAGTGGGTTGTTTGGTTCTATGACCACCCAATCAAACAATGCTGTGAAGGAGGCCACATAAGCTCAGGTCTTGACTGATCGAAGAGGATAAGTGTCAGCAACAAAGGGACAACATGATAAGGGATTAGACCTGATGATCCTCAGGTTCTGTTCTAGCTCTCCAAAATTCTATGACAACATGTATTTGGGTCTGAGTAAGGCATCATTCACCAGAAAGCAGAGAATCAGAGTTAAATGTACAAAACTAGGAGACCTCTATATTTGGCACCCACAGAGCCTGCATCCATGCAAGGTGAGATCGTTAACAATTTGGGCACTGCCTGTCTACTACGTATTTGCCTATGAAAGAAAAGAGCTCCTAATGAGAGACTGTTCCTTGGTCAACATGGTTGGGGAGCCTGTGAAAAAGTGGCATCAAATCACGGCCTCATCTCCTTGGATCTCGGTGGGTTTATGTATGCAGAGGCGGATGTAGAACAGGATAGTCTGAACCATTCCCCCATCGCCCTCTGTGTCTTTGTGTGAACGATAACAGAGTTATCCATGGAACACCAATAATAGAGTTATCCATGGAACTGAGCTATGGTTAGCAGCTCAGGAAGCTGTTTCATAGAGCAGAACTCTGATTTACAGCCTGTTTAAAAAAAACTACAAGGAACTGAGCTCTATCTGCAGCTTTGGATGCTGTTGTACTGGCACTTACTCTTACGTAGTCATGCATTCAATTAAGCTTTGTACACATGGAGGAAAATATCCAAATAGGTGAGAATTGCTTCTTCCCCTACCCACATTGTTTTGGTATTATCCCATTCCCTTAGCCTTGTTCACTCCTGAAATGGGACCCCAAAATATGCCCAAATTGGAATTCAGCTCCTGGAATAGCCAAAAGGTGTTGCCCACCCTTGATTTAAGAGCCCACCATTTCAGTGCTGCCATTTTCACTTTGTATTTACCACCCAAGAAGATCGCAGGCAGTGTAACTGAATTCATTGTCTGCCTATGTAACAGGCAATTGGCTCAGACCCAACCCCATTATTCTAGTCGGCATTGCAGTAATCTTGGGAAGGAGCTACCATTCAGACATATTATTAAAACTACACATAGACATATTTATGAAAAGTAAGTAATTTATGGTTTTTACAATGGTAACATTTCGGATAACTCCAGTAGCATCTCTGTTTCATATTTAACATACTGCTTTCACCATTAAAATACCTACAGTAAATAAGTCAGAACCCTTCATCAGCCTTAGCAAGTAAGATGATCATGAATGAATGATTGATTGATTTTAAATTTTCCCAGAGGCAACTAACGATTTTGTATCCTCATCAGCATGAGGGAGGCTTATTTTTAAAGCCTTGTACTGCCTGAAAATCAGGTCAGTTTAAGGTACCCTATTTGGATGCAAGACACACTGAAAAGCTGAATTCAGCAGCAGGGTTTGGCATGTTGTGCACTTCACTACAAACACCGAGGAGACAACAGTGGGGGATCCCTCCATTTCCCTCTACTGTGAGAATTGTCTGTTTACTCCTTCTCTCTGCTTCCTTGCTTAACTAGTCAGTAATCTAAAGATTAAACAAGTAGATAGGCACTTCCATAAGAAAGGGAAGGAAAAGATGGGATTCACCTGGGATCTGCAGGGGGTCTGATGTGACACAATTGTAGGGAAGCTGCTTGCCCGTGTTGTGCTGAAGAGACTCCAGGTGCTTGCAGACAGAATCTATCCAGAATCACAGTGTGGAATTTGAGCTAATAGATCCACCACTGACATGTTATTTTCTCTCAGACAGTTGCAGGAGAAATGTAGGGAACAACGACAGCCACTCTTTGTGGCCTTCATAGATCTCACAAAGGCCTTTGATTTGGTTATCAGGCACGGCCTTTTTAATATCCTTCCCAAGATTGGATGTCCACCTCGACTCCTTAACATCATCAGGTCCTTTGATGAGGAAATGAAGGACACTGTAGTTTTTGATGGCTCAACATCTGATCCCTTTGACATCTGAAGCGGAGTGAAACAGGGCTGTGTCCTCACGCTGACCCTGTTTGGGATCATTTTTGCTGTCATGCTGAAGCACACCTTTGGAACTGCAACAGAAGGTGTCTATCTCCAGAGTAGATCAAATGGAAAGCTCTTTAATCTCTCTAGTTTGAGAGCGAAGACCAAAGTCCAACTGAAATGCATGCGGGACTTCCTCTTCACCAATGATGCAGCCATTGTTGCCCACTCTGCTGAAGACCTCCAACAACACATGAATCATTTTAGCAAAGCCTGCCAAGACTTTTGATTAACAATCAGCCTGAAGAAAACACAAGTCATGGGCCAGGGCATGGACTCACCTCCCTCTATTACTATCTCCATGCAAGAATTGGAGGTTGTTCATGACTTGTGTACCTTGGCTCAACAATCTCTGATACTCTTTCCCTAGAGGTTGAGCTGGATAAACACATTGGCAAAACAGCTGCCATGTTCTCTAGACTCACAAAGAGAGTATGGCTGAATAAAAAGTTGACGGCATACGTATATCAAGATCCAGGTCTATAGAGCCTGTGTCCTGAGCACACTCCTGTACTGCAGTGAGTCCTGGACCCTTTGTGCATGGCAGGAGAGGAAGCTGATCACATTCCATATGTGTTGTCTCTGACGCATTTTTGGTGTCACCTGGCAGGACAAAGTTCCAAATAGAATAGTCCTTGAACGAGCTGGATGGTTGCTGTGTATGACCATTGGACTGAATAAGAACAAAGCTGTATGTATAAACCTGCTGAAAACTTGATACAATATAACTTTTCTTCTATCAATATTGTCTCTTTGCTTGGTGACTCATTGAGCAACTTCGTCTCTCTGAAAAACTACTAGTTGGCACACCTGGCTCGCTACCAACTCTGTCACATTTGCGATGTAAAATCACCACGCCAGTCAACTTGAGCATAAGTAGTTCCCATTCAGCTTATATCCTCATGCTGCCCCGGCTAATTATTAGATATAAAGGGGGAGTTAGTTGCTTTTTTCTTATTCTGTCATATAGCGTTCTCTCCTACTCTTCAATGCACAGAATGTGTTCTGCTTCTGTTACAATGTCACTGCTATCAAGGCAATGCCTAAATTCTAAACTGGCTGTAAAGCTTTGGCCCACTGTAGCTGATTCAAGAGGCATGCACCCATGTGTTCAATTTCATCTGCATCTAAGTATCTCATTGCCATCCATAGGGATATGGAATATACTTGGTGGCCTATCAGAGACAGAGGAAGAGACTGGGTCATATCTATTTGATGAAAGCCCTGTTCATTAACTCTCCATATATATTAATTCTTGTTTTTTCCTGAGTGTCTAAGACTACATTAAGTTCTTTTGAGGTTGTGTTCCAGTCTTCTTCCAATTCAGCGGTAGGATAAATACATATCTTTCCTCCAGATTTATCATATCTTCTTTACTGGCTTACTTCACACAGCTTCATATAAATTTAACAAAGGTAAGGGGTGTGGATTGTTATGCTCACCCCTGCTTTATTCTCACAAAAACTCTTATCAGGTAGACTAGGCTAAAAGAGAGTAATTGGCACAAGATAATCCAATGACTTCCATGACTCACTGGGAACTAGAATCAGGCTTCTCCCATGCCAGTTCCAGTACTCTAACCACTCGCCACACTTACTCAGAAAGTAAACAAGCAGTGAGGTCAAAGCACTCCAAGCTCAAGGTCAGCAAATATTTTGGAGTGCAGTAACAGACAAAGAATGAACAAGAGACACAATCAAGACAGGCCAAAGCTACTCACAGAAATTCCATCAAATGAGGAAATAAGAAGGCAAAGGCCTTTGTGCCTCTGCCTCCAGCCAAAAAGGAACCTTGTGTTACAATATAGAGCAAGGTAGGGAAGGTATGCTGCATGAAAGGCAGCCCTTTGTCTAAAAAGCTTGAGAGGGATAATCCAATCAAAACCACCTGGGATGGAATTTGAAGGCTGCACTTTTGACTTGAGTTTGCAAACTCCATTTTGAAACTGATTTTAAACAAAGAAATTTGGCATGGATATCTGACCATAATTTTTGGAGTTTTTATGGGTTTATTTTGTTTTCTTTTGTTTTGTTTTTGCACCATCCATAGATTTGTGATGCCTTGCCTGATGAAGACCTGCACAGGGCTGAAAGTTAGTTTCTGTTTGTAATTTTTGATAAAGGTATCATCCACCTTTGTCCTCTAAGGTAGAAACTCCTAATGAGGGCAATAACACTTTGAAATCTGAAACCTAACACATGGCCTAGGTTCATCAAATTTATCAAAAATAGCTTTCCACTTACCACTTTCAAAGCAGGCATCAAATATAATATGTCCCTTTTTCGGCTGTCCAAAGTAACCTGGTGGAACTGCAGCATATTTGCTTAAATTCCCTGTGATAATTTCATCTAATCCTATATCGCTACCTGTTGGAATAACAATAAGGAACTTGATTAGATATTAAGAACCTGAAACAAAGCAGAAAAAATATTCTCTTTCTTGGCAATTACAACAGTTTCTACAGGTAATAAAACATAACACCCACTCATGTCCTATTATTTTTTCCTAGTATTCACATACTGTCTAATAAACACCATTGCCCAACAGCAATGAGATTCAAGGAATTAACTTGCTCAAACAACAGTGGTATTTCATCATTCGCAATAAAAATCTATCTAGTATCAAAGCCAGATTAGATCCCATCAACATTAGACCATTTATTATTTCAGATCTCATGACTCACAGTTGCATTGGAGACTATGGAATCTACAGCCTGTCCTGGAAGGTAAGCCTTAGAGTCTAATTAGATGAGGCACTCGGTTTGCATATAGAAGCAAAGCTTTTTTAAGTAGTAAGTAATGTTCTTCTACCATTAATTTTTCTGGTTTCCTTACTTTGTTTTGCAAACAATGTTGTTTTTTGACTGGCCATTGGTAGGTAAGCAAAGGCTTAATTTGCAAGTCTGATTGCTCAGGCGCATAGCTCTGAAGGACACAAGAACTATCAGTCTCTAAAGACAAGCTTAGTGTCTCATCTAATGCTACTCTTGGAATGTATGCTAAAACCTCCCAGAACAGTACAATCAGTTAACCTGAAATACAGATCCCAGTTCAAGCCAAAAGCAACTTCAGCCAAAATATCTATTTTGTACTGGGTGACAAACAGCATGAACAGGGCACAGCAGTAATCCAATTAATACATTCAAGCCTCTCTATTTTACACTAATATGCACACACTCATGTTAACACTTATGTGACAACCCTAACAAAATTATTCTTCATCAAGTTTACTTTTGATTTTCAGACAACTACACCAGTTCCAACTACCTCAATTCCAAAACACTCTGGTGGTGTACAAAGTGTAATTAAATTTGTAGGGGAAATAATCCAACGTATCCTTACCTGCAAGTAAATTCCACTAATTACTGAGGCATACGTGTCTGAATAAACATATAAGATTTTAGGGTACAATACTAGCTAATATCTCCCCACCCATTAGGGATACTGGGAATTACTTAGGACTACCTCTTTCTTGGCTAATATTTTGATGGCATAGTGGCTTTTTCCCTGGGCTGGAGTAGGTCTGGATCTGTTTTAACTCAGCCCCCTCTCGGGGGGGAGAGTTAAAACACTTTTTTGTTCTCCTTCTGGGTAATCTTATATAGCACAGCAATTGTACCAACAGATATCTGAGATCAACCAGTACAAGGGCAATTATACTTTGGTGCCTCGCTTAACAACGTTAATTCGTTCCAGCGAAATCGCTGTAGAGCGAAAACGTTGTAAAGTGAAATAAAAAAGCCCATTGAAACGCATTGAAAACCGTCCAATGCGTTCCAACGGGCTGAAAAACTCACCGTCCAGCGAAGATCCTCCATAAGGGCGGTCATTTTCGGTGTCTGTAGAGCGAGGAATCCATCCAAAAACACAGCGGGGAGCCATTTTGAGCACCCAGTGGCCATTTTGAAAACCCAACAATCAGCTCTTTTGATCATCGTAATGCGAAGAATCAGTTCCCAAAGCAGGGAACCGATCTTCGCAAAGCGAAAAAAACCCATTTAAAACATTGTTTTGCTATCGCAATTGTGATTGCAAAAACATCGTCGTGAAGCGGATTCGTCGTTATACAAGGTAATCGTTAAGTGGGGCACGACTGTATAGACAAAAGGGCAGTTGGTTTCTGCCCATTCCAAACCTGCTATAGTATTGAGCTAGAATTGCAATGGTAGTCAGCAATGTTCATGTGACTTACTGAAGACCATGCTACACTAATCCCTTCTGATCTTACTACTGAATAGACAAGAAATATAGAACTATGCTAGCTCTGGGTTTATTACAAAGAAATGCATTATAATGCTTATATGGGCTGCCTGTTGGTATGATTTCACCTGCAGAAGTCAGATGGTATCATTAGCATAGCATGATTTTCAGTCACTAAAAACATGCTCTATACATCCCATATAACCTTGAAATAATTAATCTTTAATATTCCTTTTCTTATTTTCACTTCATATGTTAATTCATCATTAACAGATAAAATACACATTTCTTCATACCATTATTCCATATGAAAATTACAACTAATGTCAAATTTTTGGTAATAATTAATCTTATAACCATTAATTACCATTATATTAATTAACTCTCTTTTCCCTTAGTCCAATAGTAAGTTACTAAAAATATTTAGCAAAGCTATAACTGGAGATGTTTCCAAATACTGTATATACCTATACAGTAATTTCTTTAATCTCTTTGAATATCTTTTCCCAAACTTCCTGAATCCTCTCATATTTCTACCACATAAGAAAATACATACCGAGACCCTTTCAACATCTCCAACAAAGAGATGAAACTTCAGAATTCATTAAATTAAATTTAACCAGAGTTTGATACCATCTCCAGAAAACTTTATAAAAAAATATTTCTCCTATAGACATACTCTTTAGTACAGTATTCTTTGATTCCATACTTCTTGCAATATTCAGTTCAAATTTCCTCATTTAAATCCAATTGCCAGATGTCTTCAAGACTTTACTGGGTTTTTTTCAATCGCTATCAATATGTCATATAATTTGCTTTTCATTTCTTTTCTTTTATTATTATCTTCTACTCTCTCCTTTCACTCTATAATTTCTTCTAATTTTATCAACACTCTACAAGTAGAGTATGCTTACTTTCCCCCAAAGTTTCCCTCACTGCCACTTCTTCTACCAAGTCATCTTTATTGCTTAGAACCAAGCCAAGGATGGCTAATCATGTTTCTTCCTCCCATTTTTGCAGGATAAAATTATTAGTTACACAAGCCAGGAATTTCTTGGAAGGGCCATGTCTGGCAGAATTTGCCTCCCAACAGCTAACAGAATAATTGAAATCTCCTATTACTATATCATATCCCTTTGAAATTCTTGCAATTTGTTTTTCAAAGTTTTCATTCTCAATTTCTTCTTGATTGGGCAGTAGGCAGTACACTCCAGCTACAATGTTCCTTTTATATTTCACCTCAATTATTTTAATCCAGACTCTCTCAAAGGTGATATAAACTAGTTCAAACTAGCTTAAACTATGTGCCACCAGAGATCAGTAATTCCTGCATGTGTTACTTGAAAGTGAAAGTGTATCTGTGAAGATTCTCAGTCATCCAGGTGAGGTTATCTGGAAATTAAGTCATGGCAACTGGAAGGGAAAATAGTAACTTATAAGTCATGGGAAAGAGATGATCCCAAACAGAATTATTCTGAGTTGTGAATCATGATGTATTTTGCAAAATTATTGTTCAAACTTTTAATGCTCTGTATTCTGACATTATGAAGTACCATTTCCATGTCATTTTTTCTATTTCTATGGAAAAGTTTTTCTATTTCTATAGAAAACAATGTAGTGGTGTGAAGATTGAATGGGAATGATCCTCGGAGAGGTTACCTGGCTCAAAGCCAGGGAAGCTCGACCTGGCTTGGCTGCAAACACCTGATACATTTGGACTGGCATATAGCCCTCTCTGGGTCCTCCTGAACCACTTCAGGAGACACTTGCAACTCTTCTCCTCCCTCCCCCGCCCCAGCATCTTGGTATCCAGCCAACACATCCACCAACCCCTCATGTGTCTCTTTTCTGGCTGCACATATGTATAAGAATCCTTCCTCAAGTTGGGGATTTCTGAGACAGTTCAGTTTGATTTCAGCTGCTTCACCCCGATCCTCAGACAAGGTCTCACTGCACTGCAGGCACTTGGCACACCACCTCGCTTCCTTTTACTCTTGTTCTGGAGAACGGGACTCCTCTAGACTGCAGACTATTAAAGGATCAGCAGGGGTGGAAGGAAGGGCAAGAAGGGGGTCTGTGATCTGGATTGCTACTTGTATCACAACCAGCATGAATTCCCAAATTTGTCTGCAGCCCCTGTGTGGGCACTCTTTATGATTTCAGATGTAATACAAACTGTGAATCAAATAGCAGAAAAGCAAAATCATTCTGATTCACCTGTCCAATGTAGCTACAGTCACAAGAAAAGAAAAGTAAAATGCTATGAAGGATTATTTGTGTGTTTTTTTTTAGGTAGGTGGGTGTTTGGGTTGGCAAGTATTTGTGTGTAAGAACTGAGAATATGAGCCTGCATGAGAAAGTGGAATGTGGGCTAAGGTTTGCTCTTTCCACATTTCTGCATTATATTCAGGTCTTCCTGTAAATTTTATGTAATGTATGTATGTATGTATGTATGTATGTATGTATGTATGTATGTATGTATGTACGTACGTACGTACGTACGTATGCATGTATTAAACTGGCCACTACTGTGAAATGGGCGCAGTATTTAGCAACTGGTATACTGACCAAAGCAGCCATTTTGTGAATTCAATCCCTTGCATTCATTTTGTGACAGCACCTGTGATGCTTCCCCAAAATTCCCAGTGTGTCCTCTAGTTTGAAAACTCTGGAGATTCCTGACTAATTTATGGCTGTTGTTTTTCAATCACTTTCAAAATATCAATATTTTTGCAATATGGCAATCAAAATATATTAATAACACATTAAACCAAACACTAAAATTAATACTTAAAATCAGAAAATGTAAGGATGAATGTAAATCATTTCATATCTATTCCTATCACCTAACTGTCTTAAGATGCATTTCTTGCATTATTTGTAAGTTGCACTGATTTCAATGATATCCGGTCGCATCAAATATCATTTGCAACTTCCATTACTGTATTTCTCATAGACTTTGTCTTGGCTGCCATCGTTTTCTATGGACATTTCCAAGCTTTGTATGAAAAGAATCGCCTTATGTCATGAGGTACCCACAGGGAAAAGAAAGACTCTCCCTTCGCTCTAATACTGCAAAGTGCCCTTTCCTATCAGGACTCTTTCCGACCACCCGGTTCGGGGAGGCCACCGTTTGTCACCTGTCCTGGGAAAATATCCTTTTCAAATCCAGGTCTTCTTCTCACTCCCATAAGCAAACAGCCACTTTTCATCCTCACCACAGCATTTGTGCAGCACACGCAAGGTCGTTCCCCTCAAATAATCAAAAGGACTCAGGTCTCCTCCTACAGTACCCGCTCTGAAGGCAACTCCCTTTCTCCCAGGCTACTCTTGCCGCCTCCTTCGTGCTCTCAAGCCACCTGCTCCAGCCCTCGTCTCCCCGCCAAGGGCAGCCACTACAGTAACTAACCCGTTTCTGCCGTCTTGCTCCTTTCCGCCATGTTTGTTTTCATTCCTCCGTTTCCTCCCCCTCCCAACGCGAGACGCTCTCTGGACGTCACCATGGCAACACACGTCACAGCCTGGGGAGTCCCTTATTCCTTTTCCCTAAATGCAGGAGGTGCATTGCGTAAAAGAGGTTTTAACGCGACAGAGAGAACTCCGTGATCCTTTCCAGGCGGTCCTCAGGGAGGGCAGTCTCGTAACTCAATAAACGTGAGCAATACGATCGGACTAACTCCCAAGTAAACACGTGCTACAGCTTCGAAGGATAGCAATAGCAAATATTCATGCAGCGGATCTCAAACTTTGGCATGTTTACTCGGAAGCAAGACCTACTTAGTTCAATAGGAAGACCTATAGAAATAACATTCTTAAAAGTGATAGTTACTTTAGGCAAATATACATGGATTGCGACTGCAGCCTTACGGATCTTTTCTTGGGAATCAACTTGAATGAACTCGGGAATTGCTTCCGTGCCTAGAATGCATAGATCGGCTTGCACGACATAAAAGACATCCATCCGTGTAGTCTGGTCTAGCTGTACAAATGGGAGCATAAACAGTAAAATGAATGTGTATATTGTCTGTCGGGGGAAATGTAACATCTCTTTAAAAACAGACTGTAGCTTCATTACGTTCTTACTGGGATTAGACGAATAGATTAGATCATGTACAAGATATTATTTTATACTCCCTCATGGTCGAAAGCTAGTGCATGGTCCCTCAGAGATCATTTACCCTGCTGCTGTAAAAAAGTGAGAATGAGGTCATTAAAATAAAGCTAACCCACAAGAGGAAAGGAACAGAGAGAAAGTACTTCGTATTTCCACGTCTTCCAATCAAGATCAGTTATCTGTATAGCATTATACTGATGCAACCCTATTCTCCCTTTAAGCGACGAAATCGATAATGAATATCCTTTTTTTTTTCAAACACAGCTGATTAGAAGGTTTGGTAGAGGTGTAGTTTCTGTAAGATGGGAATAATTGTATGGTTGCCTCTCCTTCATATCGCAGTTGACCAGTTTCTATGTCAGTGGCAGCCAGAAACATATGTCATTTCTACCAGATCACATGCATACTTTCATTCCATATGAATTGTTCTGAAAGAATTATCATTTGTGTTCATATTCACAATTAGTGAACTGATTACAAACGCCACTTGCCCATTTAAGTATGAATTGAAAGTAAAGTACAGTCCCAGACTGCCTTTCACAGAGATGGAGGGAAAAAGTGTTCACAATACAGTACAGTAGTGGCCCCTCCTGTCACAGGCATGCTGTTGTGCAAACAAGGAGGAAGACTCACCTTTAAATTTCGAGGTGATACCATCCGTCTGCTCAGACCACAAGCCGTTCCTGTATCCTTCTTCATTTTCCCCATCACCCAGTCCATTCCAATGTGCACTCTGAATCCCCAATGGAGGCAAATTCAAAGCAAACAGGATACCAGGCCATCTCCATATTCTGCTGAGTGCATTCTGTTTCCGACAATGTGGACATACTTAACTGTTGCCATCTCTACTGTACGCTCAAACTTATCTGGTATAAATCTATGCTTACTCTTTCTCCTTGGAATTGACTGGGCATTCCATCATCACAGGTAACTGAAATGAGGCAAAAACCTAGGAACATGGCTCACCATCTCAGTGCCAGGTTCTGGCCTCACTATGTGTTTTTATTTGACCTGCTGTGTGTCTTCACTAATGCTATGATGACATGATTGAAAGAAAGCATGGTATGATCATGAGGTTTGTCTGATTTCCCCCATATTTTAATTTAATTTGTAGGGAAATGCAAATCCATTATCTCGTGCTTTGTCTGTCAGTTCTTTCCCCTCTCCCATCTGCAGACTGAATCTAGACAAAGAACATTGAATATATGTTAGCCTACCATAATTTATTACTCTGGACTTGTTAAAGTATTTTAGCAGTCCTTGAGCATCCTTATGCTAGCTGGATAGCTCAGTGGTTTAGGTATCTGGTTGCACATCCAAAGAGGCTAGGAGTAGAGCCAGAAGCCTGTGTGGCCATAGGCAGGCTGCACAGTCCCAGGACTCCCCAGAAGAAGGGAATGATAAACCACTTCTGTGAAGGATCAACATATGTCAGAATTGATTTGATGGCACATGGCTATTTATTAGATTATTTACTAAGGCAATTTCGTTTTAAGATGCTAATTCTCTTTCTTAGTTTCACAGAACACAGGCAGATTATGTACAGACACATAGAGACATATACAGATTGTAACTGTACACTGGAACAATTATGTATTTATATACCTTACCAAAAAATGGCAATATAAGAATATGTTACACCATATGAATTGTACTACATCAAGAGACTTCCCAAATGCTTTGTGTGTCTCACAGGAACTTTGCAATTGTACTTTGAACTCAGTTCTTTCATGCCCAAATCCAAAGGTTTTTTTCCACAACATGGCAATATCAGCTCTCAAATCACATGTACTGAATAGTGCTTCTACAACTGATTGCTCCCAGAATCTGGAATTCCCTCCCACAGGAGGCCAGGCTGGTACCATCATTGCTGTCCTTCCACAAGCGGGCAAAGACCTTTCTCTTTAGGCAGGCTTTTTCTTAGTGACTGGCTGTCCAGGAGACAATAAATGGGATGGCCCTTTGGTCCTTTCTTAAGGAAAAAGGTGGGGTAAAATATTTTAAATAAACAAATGAGTTTTTTTTTCTAGTAAAGTATACAAATATGTCATTCTTGCAGTGTGCAGTGACAATCTGTATATATTTCTATATATCTATGTATTTGTACAGCAATCGTTCTGATGCTGAACTCCTACTACACTTTCATAGGTCAACCCAGTACTGTTTACCGCTCCTTTACCTATTTATCTTCACCAAGAATTGTGCTGTAAGTTAAGTGAACTGAATGAGTAGTAGTAGTAGTAACTTTATTACGGTCAAAGACCAGTAAGACAAGAACAATATAAAATAAATACATACAATTGTAGTTTCATAAAATTAGGCAGAATTATAAATTTTCCATTTAAAACATGGTAAAACAACCCTTTCTTTCCAGTTCGAACTGAATGACTTCATGCTCATCAGCTGAAACTTTCTGACTGCTTGCAGTGCTCATTATTTACAAATTTTAACTGTATGAAAATATAATGTGGCTTTCACATTTGCAAGACTTAATGTGATGCAAACTGGTTGTTGAAATGTCAATACAGAGGATTACCTCTTTCTTTAAGGCTTTATCCTTGCAAATGTCGAGACACTGAAATATTGGAATGTTATTTCTTTGTTATTATTTTTATCAGGGGGCTGGAGCAAAATTGATCCCGGCAGTTTTGGCAACCTATCCAGGTCACATGCTGTTACTCATATATTATGTTACTTTTAATATAAAATATGCTTGTGTGTGTGTTCTCTGCTGTCAACTCGGAATAAGCACTAATAGGGCTTTCAAGGTAAGTGAGATATTTAAGGAGTGGTTTTACCAGTTCCACTCCCCAGTGAGTTTCCCTGGCTCACTGGGGCCTTGAACCCTCCTCTCCAGAGTCCCTAGTCTGTCACTATATCCACTACGCCACATTGGGAATCCATATGCTTAAGATAAAATATCTTAATATTTCTAGAGTAGCGTAGTCTTAATATTACCTAGAAACATTTTACATACAGACCTAAAATTTGACTGAAGTTACTTTTAAAGGTTAAGTTTTCCTTTTGCTTTCCTTCCATCACTTAATATTGTCACAAGCATATGTGGGGCAGTGGACATAATTGTTGATAAGAATCCCTTCCTGTGAAGTCAAGCCCAAACATCCCTCTGGTATATCAGAGATCTGGCAGTCATGAAACAAGTAGGACAGTGACTAGAGTGACAATAGCTATTGACACAACTCTGCCATGTAAATGGTGATGATGTCGTCACCCAGAGACATTAACCTTTATTTTAAAGGTTCTGGGAAACCCTGGGGTTCCCTTTTACACTGCAGAAGCCCGTAGCAATTTTCTGATACTAATACTTTTCGACATCCCAAGGCTCCTAATGGCGTCATTAAGTCATAAACAACTCTTCATGACCCCATAGACCAGAGCATGCCAGGCCCTCCTGTCTTCCAATGCCTCCTGGAATTGGGTCAAATTCAAGTTGGTAGCTTCAATGACACTGTCCATACATCTCGTCCTCTGTTGACCCCTTCTGCTCCTGCCTTCACTTTTTCCCAACATCAGGGTCTTTTCCAGGGAGTCTTTTCTTCTCATGAGATGGCCAAAGTACTGGAGCCTCAGCTTCAGGATCTGTCCTTCCAGTGAGCACTCAGGGTTGGTTTCCTTTAGAATGGATAGGTTTGTTCTCTTTGCAGTCCAGGGGACTCTCAAGAGCCTCCTCCAGCACCACAATTCAAAAGCATCAATTCTTTGATGGTCAGCTTTCTTTATGGCCCAGCTCTCACTTCCATGCATCGCTACTGGAAAAACCATAGCATTGACTATGCAGACCTTTCTCAGCAAGGTGATGTCTCTGCTTTTTAAGATGCTGTCTAGGTTTGTCATCGCTTTCCTCCCAAGAAGCAGGCGTCTTTTAATTTCGTGGCTGCTGTCACCATCTGCAGTGATCATGGAGCACAAGAAAGTAATATCTGTCACCACTTCCATATCTTCCCCTTCGATTTGCCAGGAGGGGATGGGACCAGTGACCATGATCTTAGTTTTTTTTTATGTTGAGCTTCAGACCATTTTTTGCACTCCTCTTTCACCCTCATTAAGAGGGCCTTTAGTTCCACCTCACTTTCTGCCATCAGAGTAGTATCATCTGCATACCTGAGGTTGTTGATATTGCTTCTGGAAATCTTAATTTTGGCTTGGTATTCACCCAGTTCAGCCTTTCGCATGATGTATTCTGCATATAGGTTAAATAAGCAGGGAGACAATATACAGCCCAGTCACACTCCTTCCCCAGTTTTGAACCAATCATTTGTTCCATATCCAGTTCTAACTGTTGCTTCTTGTCCCACATATAGATTTCTCATGAGATAAATAAGGTGGTCAGGCACTCCCATTTCTTTAAGAACTTCCCATTGTTTGTTGAAGTTGACATAGTCAAAGGCTTTTGCATAGTCAATCAAGCAGAA